GGGGGGGGGGGCTTCTCTCTGTCTTGTACCCTATGTGGGAGTGACCTGCGCTTTGTCTCTTCACATCCTGCAGGTTTATAAGGTTTATACCCCACTCTGGGTGGAGGCTTGAGGAGGAGCCCCTGACCCCAGCTGTCCCAGGGAACACAGGGCTGGGGCTCAGCCAGGGGCAAAGCTGGGGGGGCCAGTGAAGGAGGCAGGTGGCTGGGAGGGCAGATCAGAGCTGTTTTGTCTTCTCTGGAGATGGGGAGCCTCAGCAGCCTGAAACGGGTGAAGCTGGACTGATTCTGGAGAGATGCTACTGATCCTTCTCTGAGTAACTGGCAAAACCATCACCCCCTCTTAGCCTCTCTCTCCCCCTTTACAACATGGGCTGAGGAGGAAGAAGACACCCCCAGCCCCTGCCCAGCTGGCAGAGGGCTGTGATAGGGCCTATGAAGAACTGTGAGTCTCTCCAGATGTAGAGGGCCTCTGACACCTCCCTTCCTCCTCCCTCTTGGGTTTCTGTGGCCTGAGCAGGCCCCAGCTGGAGCCACCGTCCCTCCCAGAAGCCGCCGGGTTTGCCCCAAGGTCAGGTGTGTGACCAGCTCGTGGAGCCCCTGTAATGTTGAGAGGCGAATCTGGGTAAGTGCTGACTTAGCCCTCCCTGCCTCCATCCTGGCCACCAGGATGTGCCTCCAACACTGGGCCTGGTCACATCCCTTCCCTGCTCACAAACATTCCATGGCTCCCATCATCCATGGGACATCAACCACAACCCTGCTTTCAAGGCCCTCGGGATCTGGCCTGGGCCAGTCTCGCCTACCACAGGCCCCTCGTCCCCTGTGCTCCGACTGCTTTGCTGTACCCTCTTCCTAGCTGCTCCAGACCTTTTCCCTCTTCCCAGCCTTTGCACATGCCGTTCTCTCTGCTGAGAAAACCCTTAGTTTCCACATTCACCTGACACACCGATGCTTATCCTGTAAGACCCACCTCAAAGACTGCCACCTCCTCAGGGAGGACTTCCCAGACCTCCGGGCATTGGCATTGACACACACACACACACACACACACACACACAGCTCACTGCACCAATACTTAGTACTGCCTTCATTCTGCGGGTTTCAAATCTGTTATTTCTGTCTTTGCTCTCCCATGAGACCTGGAACTTCCTCCAAGGCAAGGACCAGGTCTGATCAGCTCTGCCCCCGTGGAGCCTGGCACAGTGCTGGGTATACAGCAAGAGGTCAATGACTACTTAGTGATGGGGACAGTTTGTTGTGTCCTTCCTTATACCTGGTGCATAAGGGACAGGCACAAGTAGGCCTTAGGAATATTCACCGAATGAGCGAACAAGTGGATTAATAAAGGGAGGAAGTGAAAATCCTCTGCTATGACATTTTATCATTTAATCCCTGTCTCCCTGCCCACCCCGCAGTGTTTCTGGAAAGCAGGATTTGGGGATGAATCCTCTCTCTGTCCCCAGTGCTCAGCCTGGGCAAGGCCGGGGCTTCCCCTAGAGTACCTGTGGTCTTATAGTCAACTGTGAGCTCTTTTTCTAGCACAGTGCTGCTCAATGTGGTTGTGCATTAGAATCGCTTAAGGACTTAGAAAAAAACAAAACACAAATGTTCAGATCCTATCTCTGGATGCTCTGAATTTTCTTTGGAAATCTGTGGTTTAAAATTTTCTCCTGGTGATTTGATGTGCAAGAACCACTGAGCCCAGAAGTACTAGGACCACCCTAGTGTGGCTCTAGAGCTTCAGCGTGGCTCTGCTGGATTCTCACCGCGGCTAGGGAGTGGACAGTGAAGGAAAGACTGCCCCTATTTACAGATGAGAAAACTGAAGCTCTGAGAGGTCATAACTTGACCAAGGTCACTTAATTCATCAGTAAGTCTCAGCCCTGCATTCTGAGGCATCCCCCAGGCCCAAACTACGATTCAAATTTGTTTACAGTAGGGATTCCTAAAAATAGGATTTAAAAGGCTGCTAACCTTTAAAATCTTATAGTAAGTACACAACAGCTTTTCTCAGGGAAGGGATCTATTTGCATGTGACCTCCTGAGTCACACGACCCTATCCCTACTCACAAAAGGGCCTGGGCCTGTGGAGAGGGAGAGGACCCAGAATCAAGTCCTTTGGTTCTGTCCTTGAGGTCTCTGGGGGATCCCCTTCCCCGTTGCCAGGTGACCCACATGACTTTACCTCTGGGCCTCCCGGGCCTGGAGGGTAGAAACATGTGGCCTACAGGGACATGAGGTGGTGTTTTCCATTCTCTCCAGGGCCTGACAGGGCCACTGGCTCCCTGTGCAGCTGCAGAGGTGTACGCTCTAGACCTCAGCTTCCCTACCGGTAAAATTGGAGATGAGTGCTTAGACCTCTCTAGCCCCTTTCTAGGCTCAGAGCTCAGATCCTGGCCACCCCCATCAGAAATCCCTGTTGGATCACCCTTGGGGAAGGAGCACAGTGAGGGAAGTCACTTGAGACTGAGCTTTGTTTGTCTGAGCCTCTTGCATTGCCCTGGGGCTGGTCATTGTCTCTAACTTGAAAGTAGACTTAGAGTTGGGTGACCTTAGTTCCAGTCTGGCCCTGTATTTGACTCACTTGAGATAAATTAAATATATTAGGCATGTACCGTGTTCCAATCAGGCCTGATTAGACTCAGTCCCTGCCCTTGGTGGTGAAGATGGGGATGTCTACAAGTCTGATGAGAGAGATTCACACTCACAGGGATACAAACAATGACACTACTGAGTGACTGGTGCTTTGCTGAGATGAGGGGAGTCTAAGGGCAATGGGTGTCCAGATGGGAGCTCAACAGAATCTGAGGGTCAGGAAGAGTAATAATTGAGTTGACTCTCAAAGTTAGGTAGTTGAATAAGAAAGGGTGAGAAAGGCATTCCCATCCATGGGAAATGGCCTGGAGATTTGAAATCACAAGGTGTGCTTGAGAACTCCCCTTTACAGCTAAACTTGAAAAAGGTGTCGTGACATGTTGGTTCTCTCCCTCACCTCTCAACCATTCTTCAACCCCCTATAGTTTGGCTTCTTTCCCCAATCACTCCTCTGAAAAGTGTTTTTTTAAGGTCACCCACAGCTGCCAAGTTACCAAAACCAATGGCTTGTTCTCTTGGCATTTGCCAAGAGGAGGGACAGAAGAGCATATTTAGAAGATAAAGTCATGAGACCTAGTGGCTGACAGGATGTGGAAGAGGAGCGTGTGAAGACAAGGGTGCCAACGTGATGTCTTGGTTTGAGTGCGTGGTGGTGACATTTAGAGAAAAGAATTTACAGAAGGGCAGGTTTGGGGGAATGGAAGGATGATGAAATCACTTTGAGATGGGTGGAATTTAAGACACCTGCACTTCAAAGAGGAGCTCGGCCATTCAGGTGTGAAGCCCAGTTGGAAAGAGATAGAAGGTGGAAGGGGGCTAAGAAGGAGGAGCCGGGGAGAAGGGGATCCTCCAGGACTGCTCCCCTGTAGGTAAAATGAGGGGCTTGGATTAGGAGCTTCCGTTTAATTCAGCAAATATTTATTCTTGTCATTCACTAGACCCTACTGGTTACACAAATAAATCTGATTCCTTGCCTATAGGTAGCTCACATCTGGGGTACAAGCAGGAAAGGCCCAGAGGAAGGATAGGAACAAGAGGCAGAAGCACAGCCCACAGAGAACTCGGGAGGAAAGGATTCTTTCTGAGCCCAGAGGGGCTTCCTGGAGTGGGTGACTTCTGAGTTAGGCTTTGAGGGGTTAGTAAAAATCTAATGGGAAGGGGAGAGAGGGGGGCAGGGAGTGCATTCCTCCCTCCCAGAGAGATCACTGACCACTTTCTGAACCTCCATCCCCAGCTCTGTGGTAATGTGATAATAATGCCTGTGGTAAGGAATAGAGGAGGTAACAATGTGAACACCTCCCTCAGCACCTGGTACATGGTGGATGCTCGATAATACTTTAGTTACTTCCTTTCCCTACTGGATCAACCCCCTTCCTTTCTCCCCAACCCCCTTCTATTGCCTGGGCCTGGGGTTTGGCCAGGTCTCCCTCTCCGTGACTAGGAGAATAGAGAAATTCATTGGGTTTTTCTAAATGGAACCATTGGAGAGCTGCTAGCAAATACTGGACTATCTATGAAGGATGTTGGAAGCCATGGAGAATTTTTGATTAGGAGAGTGCTAAGTAGGAGGCCAGGGCAGGAAAATGGCATCACTGGGAGCTGGATATAGGGGCTGAGCTTTATAAAGAGAAGGACCATGGACCTTATGGAGAGGCAGGGTTTTTCTCCAGGAGTTTGCTTGTCCCTGGAGACCCATTTCTAAACTTGGGGAGGCGGATCCATGGGCCAGAGGGGCTTGAGCTGGATGTAGTGGGTAGGGGACCAAACCCGGGCCAGGGCGCTCCCAGGCAGCTAACCTGGCTGGGCTCCCCAGGTGCGTGTCTACAGCCCGTACCAGGACTACTATGAGGTGGTGTCCCCCAACGCGCACGAGGCCACATATGTTCGAAGCTACTATGGACCGCCCTACGCAGGTAAATTCCGGGCCTGGCCCGCCCCTTGCCTCCCTCCAGCGTCAGACCCGGACCAGGCCCCATCCTTTTAGTGACCACGGATTTTCCCAGGTACCCTCCACAAAGCCCCGCCCCTCCCCCCAACTCGGGATAGCTCTGGGACTACAACCCCTCCCCATTCCAAAAGTGACCTCACCTTTCCAGGCCGCTCAATACCCGTTCCTGAGCTGGTAGCGACCCCTGGTGGCTAATGTGGGAATGGCCGCCGCCTCCCGCTCCAGGTGTGGTCTGGAGGTTTTTAGAGATCCCGGGGTTCCCTCGCCTTTCCACCGTAGCCCACGGTCCGAGAACATCCGTAGCAGATCCAAGGCCTGGAAGACGTGGAGACGGGGCGCACTTCCTTACCGCGTTAAGTCCTCAGTTTCTCCGACTTAGGAACAGGACAGTGGGCTCAGCGCCTTACCTTGGGTTGGGCTGGAGTCAAGCGATGATCGCTCTGCTCCCGCCTCTGAAGTGTCCGGCTTTCTCCGCAGGCCCCGGCGTAACTCACGTGGTAGTGCGGGACGATCCCTGCTACAGCTCCGGAGCCCCGCTGGCCATGGGCATGCTTGCGGGGGCCGCCACCGGCGCAGCGCTGGGCTCGCTCATGTGGTCACCCTGTTGGTTCTGAGCCCTGAGACTCAGTGCGTGAACCCTGCGCATAGTTTACTCCTTCACCCCACCCTCCACCCCAAGCCCTGCCCAATTTTTGCCGCCTCTTTTCCATTTAGTCATTCCGAGCTTGGATCATCCCCTTCCATTCCTCATCCTCACGTCGGAAGAAGCTATCATCCCAGGCACAAAACTTTAACTCAAAATCCTTGTATCTACCGCCAGACACTCCAGAAATCCATTACAGACACATGGATATACTTCCCCCAAACACAACAGGACACAGAAAACACAACTCATATGGCTTCGTTTCCCAGATGCTGGAGACGCAGGAGTTGGGGTTCTTCCTCAGGTGGCTCCAGGCTTGGTGGGCAAAACAGGAGTTAAACACTTGACAAGGCAGTTATCAGTCCTTGGACAGTATGAGGGCAGAGAGTGAGGAAGGTAGACTAGAAGCTTGTTGGCAAGAAGAGGGCAGAGCCGTGACCATCATGGCATACCACAAAAATTAAAGGGGCATTTAATTGGACTGGGGGTGGGGCAGGGGTCAGATCTTTATGCCCCTGCAGGTTAAGCAGCTTCCTGGGTAAGGGGGAGATGTGAGATTTTCTTGGAGGAAGTTTCATAAAGAATATATTGCCTGTTTTGTTAACATACACATACCCAAACCCAAAACACTGTTTAGTCCCATCCTTCCCACTACCAGCTTACTGGGTCCCCTGTTCCTTCAGTGTTAAGCACCTATTTCCCATGTCAGGGTGCCTGGGGTAGCAACTGAGCTGAACCAGGGGTCCCCTTGCTTTGAGGGGGCAGGTGAGATGTTTGGGACCTCCAGCCCTAGGATGGTACCTCTATCAGGAAATGCATTTCTACTCCCCAGAAGCTTGGCCCTGTGCCCACAGCTATGGCTGTCACCATCTTAGGCTTTGTTTCCTCCACTCTGGGGGAGATGGTAGTGTTCACTTCTGGAGGCTGATCCACCTTTGTCTTAGACCAGAAGGCCCCCATATGTGCCTGCCTCCCTACGGGTGGTCCAGCAGTCTCCCCATTTGATCCCTTTCTAGCCTCCTCCCCCAGCCTGTCCCAATCACCACAGAAAAGCTAACATCCCTACCCTGTAGCCAGAGTAGCCTGCGAAAGTTCCCCTGTAGATAGGGGCTCCAGTTGCCCTGCTGCAGACTCTAATAAAGGTATGGTTGGCTCTAGCCCTGGCTCTGGCTTTGTTTGTTCTCCCTGGGCCCTGTCTCCCTAGGCCATCTCCATGACTCAGCTCCTAACAGTGCCTTCTCTGGTATAGTAAGAAGTGTGGAGTCTAAGGTCAGGTAGAACTGGTGACAGCATGTTAGCTGAGCCACTTAGGGCAAATCACTTAACCTTTCTGAATCTTGCTTTCCCCCACCCATAAGGTAGCAAGTTGAAGTTGGCCATCCCTGAGGGCTGAAGAGAGAGGCTGTTATCAGGGTCTTTGTCATCTGAGCTAATGCGTGAGCCTGCTTTCTGAGAGTTCTGAGATCTTTCTCAGTACGTTCCCACCCTCCTACACTTGAGTCAGTGAGTTGATCTCAGGGACCAGGTGGTCAGGGAAGGAAACACAACCATCTTGCATCAGGTCTTTTGAGGCTGTAGGTGATCTGGGAAAGATGGTCTAAAAAAACACGGTCTTGAGAAGGGATGGGGTGGTATCCAAAAGGAAATTTAGGGCAGTTTCCCAGAAGTAGGATAAATAGATGTGAGCTGGGTGGCAAAAACAGGTGTCCACTTCAGCCATATCCCCAGAGACATCAACTTAGAGGGGGACATAAACATCAATGATTCAACGAGGTAAGAGATGAACATGGTGCTTCTGAGGAGGAGGTATCCGACTCTGCTAAGGGAACTGGGGAAAATTTTGGGAGAGGAAGTAGAAATTTAGGGTGAACCTTGTAGGATGAGTAGGAGTTTGCCAAGCAGAGGAGGGAGGGAGAGCTTTCCATACAGAAAGAACAGATTAAAGAAATGGCATGAGCAAAGGCCTTGGAACACTGGCCTTGAGAGCACTATGAAGTTCAGAATACAGTCTGATGTCACAGCATGTTGTACAGTGAGAAGAGGTGGTGAATGTGGCCAGGTTATAAAGAACCTCCCACAGTTGGGTTAAGGGCTCTTTGTGCCTTTGCAGCTTCAGGGGTACCATTTGCCATGGTCTACTCACCCCACTGAACAGGGCAAGAGGGATGCAAATAGATGCTCCAAATGCAGTCTGCTTCAGATTTTCTCCACTAACAACAGTATCACAGCATGAATTTTTAATTTTCCAACTGTCCAGCAGACAATTATAAAATTATTTTTCAATATACACTTGAAGAGAAACGTTAACCCTCACAGGCAACACAGTCTAATCTGGAGGTACCCCATGGGCCACATTCTGGCCTACACATTTGTTTGGTCAGCAAAGTGATTTTACCAAGTTTTGAACTAAAATGTGATACCACTACATACCCACCTAAATGGCTAAAGGTAAAAAAGACAAACAACATTAAGTACTGATGTGGAGCTGGAAATCTTGTATAAACTGGTATAACTGCTTTGGAAACATCAGTAGAGCCAAACAGGCACACCTGGTAACTCATCAATTCTTCTCCTAGGGTACACCCAATGGAAATGTGTACTTATGTTCACACAAAAACCCACAATAGGTACAAGTGTCACAGAGGTGCTGGAAAAACTCAAAATCTAGAATAGGTGGTTCCACTAACATATTCCACTCACAAAATGGATACTATTCAAAAAGAATTAATTACCCGTATGTATAAGCTAAATTATGGGTGAACCAAGAAAATAACAGCAAGGGTGAGGGGGGGTGAGATTTTGGGGGAATGGCCAGTTGGCAGAGCAGCCAGAACACACACCATTTATCAGTTAAGTTTGCCATCTTAGAAGAGCATGGTTTGTGGTGCCCCAAAACAGTTACAATAGTAACATTAAAGATCACTGATAACAGATCATCATAACAAGTACAATAATGAAAAAATATGAAATATTGTAAAGAATTACCAAAATATGACAGACACAAAGTAAGCAAATGCTGTTGGAAAAATGGCGCTGACAGACTTGCTCGATGCCGGGTTGCCAAAGACCTCCAACAATTTGTAAAAAGGCAGTATCTGTGTGAGCAACAAAACAAGGTTTGCCTGTACAAAGCTACAGTAATCAAAACAGAGTGGTATTGGCATAAAGACGGACATACAGACCAATGGAATAGACAACCCAGAAATAAACCCTCACATATATGGCCATCAGCTGATTTTCAACACGGGTGCCAAGACAATTAAATGGGGAAAGAAGTCTTTTCAAAAACAAATGCTGCTGGGAAAACTAAATATCCACATGCAAAAGAATGAAGTTGGAGCCCTGGCCGGTCTGGCTCAGAGCATCATCAGCCCACGCATCAAAGGGTCTCGGGTTTGATTCTCTATCGAGGGCACATACCTGGGTTGCAGGTTTGATCCCTGGTCCCAGATGGGGCGTATGCGGAAGGCAACCAATCAATGTCTCTCTCTCGCTCACATCAATATTTCTCCCGCCCTCCTTCTCTCCCTCTTCAACTTTCTCTAAAAAAAATCAATGGAGCCCGGCTGGGCGTGGCTCAGCGGTTGAGCATTGACCTGGGATCCAGGCGATCAGGGTTCGATTCCCGGTCGGGGCACATGCCCGGGTTGTGGGCTGCAGCCGATCGGTGACACTCTCATCGTTGATGTTTTTCTCTCTCTCTCTCTCCCTTCCTCTCTCTGGAATCAATAGAGATATATTAAAAAAAAAAAAAAAAAATCAATGGAAAAAATACCCTCAGGTGAGGATTAACAACAAAAAAGTAGTTGGACTCTTACCTTATACCAGATACAAAATTAACTCAAAATGGATCAAAAACCTAAATTTAAGACCTAAAATTATAAAACTCTTAGAATAAAACGGGGAAGAAAATTTTCATGGCATTGGGTTTGGCAATGATTTCTTGGATATGACACCAAAAGCACAGGCCAAAAAAAAAAAAGAAAAAGAAAAAGATAATTGGACTTGATCAGGATTTAGAACTTTTGTAAATTAAAGGACACTGTTAAGAGAGTGAAAAGACAACTCACAGAATGGGAGGAAATATTTGTAAATCCATGTGTCTATTAAGGGATTAATATCTAGGATATATAAAGAACTATAACTCAACAACAACAAAATAAACCACCCAACTTAAAAATGGGTAAAGGACTTGAAGAGACATTTCTCCAAAGAAGATATACAGATGGTCAGTAAACAAGAGGTTCAATATCAACAGTCATTAGGGAGTCCAGCCAGTGTGGCTCAGTTGGTTGAGGGTCGCCCCATGCATCAGAAGGTCATCTGGGTTAATTCCCAGTTAGGGCACCTACCCAGAGTGTGGCTCAATCCCCAGTAGGGGGCATGCAAGGGACAACCAATCGATGTTGAGTCTCTCTCATTGATGTTTCTCTCTCCCCCTCTCCCTGCCTCTCTCTAAAATCAATAAAAACATGTTTTTAAAAAAAATAGTCATTAGGGAAATGGAAAAATCAAAACCACAATGAGACTGATAACACTACACATGCATTAGGATGGCTATTAAAAATTCAGAACATAAAAAGTGTTGATGAGGATGTGTAGAAATTGGAATTCTCCTATATTGCTGATGGGAATGTAAAATAGTGCAGCTGCTATGAAAAGCTGTTTGGCGTGTCTTCAAAAGTTAAACTAAGTTAAATACAGGAATATCATATAATTCAGCAATTCCACTCTTATAATGAAGAGAACTGAAAACAATAACTCAAGCAGACACTTGTATACCAATGTTCATAGCAGTATTACTTAAAATAGCCAAAAGGTAAAACCAATGTCAGTGTCCATCAACAGATGAATGAGTAAATAAAATGTGGTATATACATACAATGGAATATTCAGCCATAAAAAGGAATAAAATTCTGATACATGGTACAACATGGATGAACACTGAAAACATTATGCTAAGAGAAAGAAGCTTTTAAATAGTTTAGGAAAAAGCAGCTCTTACAGGAGGCACTCTCCCTAGATTACAGTCCACTAACTGATGTTTTAAAAGGGAAAAGGTAGAGTACTAAAAGATCAAAGGCAG